CCTGCATCTGCCCACTCTGCATCACCTGCACCCACATGTCCGCCCTTCCCGCCGATACCTGGATGAACCCCCGCTCCTAAGGCCAGTCCCAACACCAACTGTGTCCTGCTGCATCCAGTCCCCTCTCGCCTGCTCTGGGACAAGGCTCCAGCAACTCCTTCCTCAGTCTTATCATTTTTCCTTCTTATTCCCACCAAAACAATCATGCTCTATTCTCCCTTTTCAAAACCAAACCCAACGAAATCCTGTGGCCCCACCTCCTCTGCCAGCTACATTCCTGTTTTCCAGCTGCAGAAGTCCCTGAAAAACCTGTTGGTCTGGCTCGCTCGGGTTCCCCGATTCTCCCTCTCCCTAATACCCGCACCCATCGGCTCTCCTCCCCTCATCACTTCACACGGACTGTTTTAAAGTTGCCAGTGTCCGCCATGGCGCTGATACATGGGTGGAGTCTCAGCGAGTCGAGAATGTAGCGTGTTAAAAGGAGAACAGAGACAGCAGAGCAGGATGAGGATGGCGGGGCTTGCGGGGGGTAGGTGGGACAAGTGGCAATTCAGGCGATCGGCGCGGGCCTTGTTGATAAGGTGACATTTGAGTAACTCCTGAAGGCAATAAAGGGGAGCACCCATGAGGATATCCGGGAAGAGCATCACAGGCAGAGGGAGCAGCCAGTGCAAAGGCCCTAAATCTACTAAAGAAAAGAAATAATCTCACGACTAAGTGGGATCATGGTACAAAGCAAATGCTCAGATAATACAGTAATGGGTATTATTATTTTTCATTATTTTTTTTCTGATCATGGCAATAACCCAACATTTGGCAATGCCTTGGCCCTTAGGTAAAAAATTTCAAATAATACAAAAATAAATAAAATAGAAAATGAAACTTTCTATGATTCCACTCCCCACCACTAAGTCGATGCATCAGAGTCTGGCCTTTTCCCTAGGCTCATGTGAATGTTTACTTAAAAGTTTTTTACAAACATGAAGTGACGCCCTGCATTTTAGTAAACTGCTAGGTATTGATGATTTATTGTGCACCCCCCTCTACAGGGCTCTTCTGAACAGCTGTGAGCTGTTCTGCAACGTGGATGTAACAACTGACTAACCATTTCCTTAAGATGAACATTAAGTTATTGCCCATTTTCTTCCTATAAACAACGCTCCCGGGAACACTCTTCTACACACACCTTTAAGGACATGTGTGATAATTCTGCAGGACGGGTCCCTGGCCACGGAACGGTGGGTGTGACGGCACACCAAAAACACTGGCATCTCGCTGCTAAATCGTCCGTCCTCTCATTCCTCTGGGAATTATCCGTCTGGCTCCAACCCCTGCCTCGTCTTTTTGGTGAGGTCTCCCCTTGATCAAGGCGGCTGTGTGGGGCTATTGTGACATCACAGATGTGGGGATGAGACAAGACACACTGTGCGACTCGACTAACCAGGACCTCGGGGGACGGTACTGCCCGTCCTTCTGAGTTTCAGTGTTTGCAATGACTAGATCCCAGTGATTAGTGCTGATTCTCAGCCTGGGGCTGTACCCAAGAAAACTGGGGCAGAGGGCAGGGAGAGGGTGTGTGACATTTCAAAATCAAATATGATACCACGATTTTGTATTTGGAAAATGACAACAAAAGAATTTCTCATATAAAACATCCATTTATTGTTCAGTTCTTCAACAAGTATTTGGGTTCATGTACTGGTTACTCTCAGTACTAGGACTGCTATAATAGACAAAATTAAGTTCCTGACCCCACAGAAATTATATTCTAATTAGAGACAAGCACATTAAGTATCAGTTAGTGACAATGCTGCATTATTTAGGGTAACAACCAGCTGCTAGAATGAACGAACCCCAACATTTCAGAAGGCCACCGAAATCCTCTCGACAACGGACCAGGCCGAATGCCCCACCTCACAGCTCCAGGAGCCTCTTCTGGAACGTATAACCTATTTTTGTGACAATTTGGTTAATGCCATCTCCCTCACTAAGGCCAAAACTTGTTTTTCCCTCTGTAGCAACAGGTCTGTCTTTCAAGTTCTAAGCTTTTTCCTGTCCCCCTGCTGAGTCTTCGAACCAACAGCCCACCCCTCGCTAGCCAAGTCTCAGCTCACATGTCTCTTCCTCAGAGTGGGCTTTTTGGACCTCCTTGTGGTACCAGTGTCCTGCCAGCCACTTTGCCCACGACCTGCTCTCGTGTCCCTCCAGCTCTGTGGCAGAGAGAGAGCACACCAAAGAGTCACATACCCCTTTCCACAGCACGACGTCACTGCCAAGCAGCAGCCCACACACCTGACTTCCAGGCCTTTCTTCACACAGGGTCATGTGACCAGCTCAACAATGATGTGAGAACAGAAGTGGAGTGTGTCACTTCCAGGCCAAGGCAGTCACAAAACAGAGAAGTCTTCCCTACTCTCTCTCCCTCCACCCAGTGGCTGGATGTGACATCCGGGACATGCTGGAAGCTACCTGCCCAAAGAGGCACAGCTGCATGGAGCAGAGCCACGCGCTCTCCCCCCATCGGGCTCACCCACACTGAACAGCTGTTGGCACAGCTGGCTGCTTCATATCACTCAGCTCTTAGCTCAAACATCACCGCCTCAGAAAGGCCTCTCCCAAGCACCCTAAAGTAACCCTCCAGTCGCTCTCTGTGATATCAACCGATTCTATGCATATTTGTGATAAACTGCAAAGTCCTTTGTTCATTTCTTTGTCCACCTGAATACTGTCTATCCTAACTAGAATAGAAGCTTTTTGGGAGTAAGAAGACTCATCTCTCTCGCTCATGTTATATCCCCACTGCCTAGAATGGTGCCTGACACATACTAGATGCTCGGTAAAAACCTGAAATATGTCTCAAATTCCTCATATGTAAAACAGAGTAAATACCAAACTCTATCATCTCTCAGGGCTCCTCTGGGACCATGTAGGTTATCTTTAAAAAGTATTAAGTATTACAGGATTGGGGGTGATAATTTTAAGTTGATCTAGACACAAGTCAATAAAGAAAATTTATTGCTAACCTACTACGTGCCAGGGTGCAGCCCTCTTAGAAACTTAATGGACTTTAGCTTCCAATTTATGGTTTTCCCACCTTGTTGTGGGTTTGAGGATAGGATTCTGGAAGTTTCACCCACACCTCTGGGACAGAGTATAAATTATCTAACTATCCAATGACCCCTTTTTCTCCTTCCTAAGAAACCCCAGCTTCATCCTGAGGGGCAGTGTGCTCCTGTAGTAAGGCAAATGGGCCAGAAGGGGAAGTTGCTCAGTGGGGTGTCTGGGAGACTCTTTACAGGGTGATGACTCCTTTTGCCCCGCTCCTCTTCTTCCTTCCTGCTTGGACGTGAATATGGATGAATTTCCAGCAGGGCCAAGGCTAGCCCTTAGCATGCCTTCGTTCGAATTAGAAAAAGACTTCCACTGTGAGCAGTTGAATTAGAAAAGAGCCCCTGTGGGCAGATCCACGCCTATGGGTGCAGGGCCTGGCTGGGCCAGCGGGACACTTACTGCATTTCCATCCCTACCCAATCCCCAGGCTGGCAACTCTGAGCAGTACACGAACTGCGAAAGCGTCCACAAAAGCGTCCACAGCAGCCCTGATTTCCCACGGGGTGGCACCCTTGAGGATGAACAGCACTTGCTGCAGGCAGAGCCGGAAGATAAAGGAAGCCTGGGCCCTTGATGAGGGTGGGACCCCTACGCCTTCCTCCCGACTTCTCTTCCTTTTGTTTTCTTTAAACTAAGTTTAATGATTTATTTTGAAATAACTTCAAAGGGACGAAAAAGTTCCAAGAACCACAAGGAGAACGCCCCCTCACTGAGACTGGTCAATCGTTAACATCCAATTCCGTTTCCTCTACGACCCTCCTCTCCTCTCCATGCTCCCGCTCCCTCCTCCATCCTCCGCTTTGGGGATAAGCATCCGCTGCTGCTCTCCTCCCTCTGCATCACCTGAGAGCACTTGGCACACAGGATGCCCGTCATCCCTAAATCCTCCCGTGTGCATACCCCAAAACAAGGACACTCTAACGACCATCCAAATTGCCTCTGACTTCCTAAGTGAAACAAAATTTCTATCCAAAAGTCATTTATTTTGGTTTTCTGTTAAAAGAGACCGAACCTCATACCCTCTTTATCCCTGCAGTTCCTGGGGAACCTGGAAGGCTCACGGGGAGCTGAATGGTCGCCCCTCATCTTGCCCACACTCTCTGTTCCACCCATGTGGGCCTCCCTTTGATTCCTTATACCTGCCAAGCATCTTTCAGACTCAAAACTTTTCTCCATCGTTTTAAAGTGAACAAATTCAGTGGCATTGAGTAAGTTCACAGTGTTGTAAAATTACCACTTCTAACTAGCTCCAAACTATTTTCATCGCCCCAAAAGGAAACCTGTACCCACCAAGCAGTCCCGCCCCCCGCCAGCCGACTTCTGTGTCTGTGGATCTCCCTCTTCCGGACACTTAATGCAAATGGATTGCACATTCTGCGCTGCCCGACAGCTTCGCGCCAGCTGCTCCCTCTTCCCAGATGCTCTTTCCTCCTCCAGCTCTGGCTCATCCTTTAGGAATCCACTTCACCAGCACTTCCTTAGGGGGCTTTACTAGGGCCTCCTATGAAGTCAAGTCTCCCCAGCACACCCCTCAGAAAAACCTGAAGTTCCTTTCCTCAACATTTTTCACAATTACAGTTATTCTCTGTGGTCATTTCACTCATGTTTCTCGTAGTTAGATTAGAAAGTTTATTAGGCAGGAACGTGTCTGCCTTATTTATCACTGTGTTCTGGGATCCGGCCCCGAGCCTGGCAAATAGTAGGTACTTCATAATATTTTGTTAACAGACTGAGTGAGTGAGTGACTTGCCCTTACAGAAAAGTCAACTTATGCCCCCTGGGACGGCCCCACCCTGCCCTCACCAAGGGTCTCCAACATGTCCTTATATGGACATGATGCAGACCAGCTCTGGCCATGGTCTATGAGGTACAGGCCTCTGTGACCTCACAATGCCCAGGGCCCCCACTGTGTCTATAAGAGGCCCAGGAGGCAGCCCCTGGCTCACAGACCACAAAGTTCCACCTGCTCACAGGTTGGCTGGCTCAGCCAAGGTGGTACCCTGCTCTGAGCATCTAGGCCAAACCCATCCAGCACCATGGCCAGATACAGATGTTGCCGCAGCCAAAGCCGGAGCAGATGCCGCCGTCGGAGACGAAGATGTCGCAGACGAAGGAGGCGCTGTTGTCGGAGGCGGAGGAGAGGTGAAGGGGGTCCCCCCCATGCGTGAGGGAGCTGGGGAGCTGGGCGGAGCTGGGGGTTCAGCCCATGCTGAAATTTCCTCTCCCACCTCTTGGTTTCCCCAGTGTGCTGCCGCCGCTACACCGTGAGGTGTAGAAGAAGAAGATAACATGCTAAAGGCACAAGCTAGCAAGTCCACCACACTCCTGCCTGAATTTTACCAGCCTTCAAGACCCTCTTGCCACATCTTGAAAATGCCACCATCCCAATGAAATGAACAGGAGCCTGCTAACGAACAACGCCGCCTGTCAATAAACGTTGAAAAAGTCACTTTTGTCTCTTTGCCTTGAGGGGGACCTTGAGGGGGACCTTAGGGCTGCTGGGAAGAGGGGACATGAGTGATAGTTGTCACACTAAATCTTATTCCAAACTCTTGACTGTCAAGTCACAACCAAAATCTGTCTCCTCAGCCACCCTTTATAGATGCCCCTCCAGGGGGGATAGGAGCCAGGTCACACTAGTTTCTGAGCCTATCTCTCAACTCTGTGCTCTGGCTTTCTGTTGGCAGCTTGAAATGTCCACAGAAATTTATGCAAATGCTACCAATTAGAGCTCACTCCCCCTGATCCCACACTAGAGAGCCAGGCCAAGCTCATCCCTAATTCCACCAGTCCCCAAAGTGCCTGCAGGTTTATTTCAGCCCAATGGGTCACCTGCCCAGGTAGTGGCTGAGCTACGTTTTCCCATTTAACCCTTTGAGGAAGCAGGGTAACCTACCATTTCACAGCGGTAGGGCCAAGCCCAGGGCGTTTCGCCTGTGACCAAGAGCTGACACGTCACAGCCGCAGCATGTACTGGGCACCATGGTGCTCAGGTATTCTGCATTCATCACTTCCAGGCCTCACATTGACCTGTTTCTTTCAGGTGAGGACACTGAGCAGATGGCAGATGGCTGGACATAGACCACCCCCCCTTCCCAGGAGTCACCAAGAGTAAGCAGTTTTCTTCCTGAAAACCACTCAGGTAACTAAACTGAATAAAGAATAGAAGAGTAATTTTTTTCTTCCCAGGAAAGGCTTTACAAACAGATCAAGTTCTGGCCATGGAGATGCTGGCTTAGCAGGGTCTGGGGGATGTGGGGGGGGCAGGGCGCTAATAAGGCATGTGACCACCACCCTGAAATCAAGCCTGTCTCCTGTGGCCACTGTAACAAATTACCACAAATGTCACAGCTTAATGTTTTATTATCCAACAAAATGGGTCTTTACAGGGCTACTTTCTTCCCCTACAGGGCTACTTTCTTCCCCCACCTCCATCTTCATAGCCAGTAGAACAGCATCTTTCCACAGCATCTTCATGTCTCTCTTCCTGTGGCCTGCCTGCCTCCCTCCATGCAATGACATTTGAACCCCGCTCCCCCGCCCCCGATAATCCAGGATGAGCTCCCCGTCTCCAGGAAGTCCATGAGAAAACATCACAGGCGCAGGGATTAGGACATGGACACCTCTGCCTGGGAAAGGGAAAGCAGTTGCTATGATTCTGATTTAATGAAAATCCACAGGTGGAAGGCCAAGGGCATGGACTCTGAGGCTCCTTATTTGCAGAGTGACTTTGAGCAAGTCATTTAACCTCATGAAAAATGGAGATTGTACAGGAGCAAATGAAGCAAATGAGTAAAAATGTACAGAAAGTAAATGAATAATGCCTGGCATATAAGTAACCACTACATTCTTGTAAAGAGATTAGAATGAAGTCCCACCCAGACCATGGCACAGCTTCTAAGGTTTAGTGAGGAAGCTTCAGGAATGGCTACATGTGGATTCCTACCAGCTGGGTGAGATGAGGACTTATCACATTGGCCCAGAAAAGGTGGGTGAGAGTCCTATCTGCTACAAGGGACCGTGTTTTATGGGCAAGACAAGGGGGTGGCTTGCCCTTCTGGTCCCTGTTGGCTGTGGACCCCGGCTCTGTGTTGCCTTTACGACACAGGGCTGGCCCGGGTGAGGACAATGGTGGGGTGGGGCCGCCGAGTCACAGTAGGGGGCCCTTTATATACAAGTCCCCAAAGAGCTGCTGGCAGACGAGACCAACAGTAACAGCAAGAGCAGGTGGGCAGGCCTCAGCCCTCCTCCCCCGCTGCCTAGGCCAGCTCCAGCCGCAGCCTGAGTGCCTGACCTGCGACCACCATGGTCCGACACCGCACGAAGAGTCCAAGTGAAACTCCACAGCAGGGGGGCCAGGAACAAGAGCAAGAGCCAAACCCTGAGGACATTCAGGTGGACGGAAGGACGCTCAGAGGCCGCTACCACTACAGACGCAGGCACTGCTCCCGGAGGAGGCTGTACAGGGTCCACAGACGGCGGCGCTGCTCCTGCCGAAGACGCCGCAGACGCGCCTGCAGGCATAGGAGACACCGCAGAGGTTTGGCCCATCCCACTCACTCACACTCTGGGCACTTCCTGCACCCCCCAGCCATGGCACAGACGCCTGGGCGGTGGGGGCTCATGAAGCCCTGGGACCCCATCCCATCTGACAGGAAGCCCTAGCGCCACCCAGGCCCCCTAGACAGCCCTGTAACCAACAACTTTCTTTTTCAAAAGGCTGCAGAAGGAGCAGGAGGAGGAGGAGATGCCGAAGGCGTCACTAAACCTTCCTGGGCCATCACAGCCCTGGATGGAAATTCAGGAAAAGTCATCTGCCAAAGAACCACCTTGTGAGACCACAGGCACTCCCCCGACGCTGGATGCCCAAGCCCTGAGCCCACAAGTTCTTGAGTCATCTGTCAAATAAAGCTTGAGATAAGAAACTTGCTGGCCTTCAGGGTCTTCTTTATGCAAATGGCACAAACATGGCTTCTTTTCCTCAACGGGGTCTGCGGATGGGGGTCTGTGGATGGGGGTCTGCGAATGGGGCTGGTGGCCAGGGCAAGGGGCGACGTCCTGAGTTTTGATCCTGGGCTTTATCCTACCTTGCCGTTCACATCTCCAGGGCTCTTCACCCTACGGGCCGTGGAGAAGCTAGGGACAGTGTGCTGAGGGGGAAAGCAGGTCTGGGTGAAGGGAACGAAGGGCAAGGGAACTGCGTGAGGCCCACGGGCCACTAGAGTCCTGAGGTAGGACCCTGTGTACCAGTGTCTTCAGGGCCACGCTCCCTCTGGAGCCTCCAGGAAAGAACCCATTCCTGCCTCTTGCTAGCGTCTCATGGCTTCTCATGATCCCTGGTGGTCCTATCGTCTGCTTCCATGGTCACACGGCCGCCTCTCTCTCTTACAGAGACACTTGTGATGACAAGTGAGATTGCTAATCCAGGACAATCTCCCCATCTCAAGATCCTCGGAGGGTCATTATTCAGCCTACCATAATCACCAAGGATTTACATGTTAGAAAACAGATACAAGGGGAATTAACTCTCCCCCACATACTGAAACTGCGTCGTATGGGCACATGTAGCTAAAGAGACCCGGGACTCCCAAAGCTAGGAGCTGCTGCTTTAAAGGGTGACTTGAAGGATGGGACAGAGTTAGTAGGGTTTTCTTTACAGCGGGCACATGTTTTAAGCTCACCTGCGCAGGCCCGCCCAGGTCAAGAAGCTGGACACTTCTAGCCTTCCCACCAGAAGGCTCCCAGTCCCCACGTGCCAGCGGTAGCCGCTACCCTGACCCATCATCACACACTGTCAACAGCTCTCCTGGGCTGGGCATTTCTGGAATGCGGGGAGGAGTCTGTGCATGCTCCTGCTTCCCTAAAGTCTACTCCCAACTCTCATCCTGGCTAAAAGGGAAACTTCTGCAGGGTAAACGAGGTCAGATGGAGAGGTGACCCAGCAGGTGAGGCCGCCTCGGCACTGGCTTGTTATTCTGCCTCTGTCCGGCCCTGCGGGTGGTGAGAACTCAGTGAGGGCTGGTAGCCGAGGCCCGAGTCAGTGTTGGCCCAGACTCAGCTGAGGGGGTGGCTCTAAGGGCCCCTTTGTGATGTCAGCACCCTACCTACAGCCCTCACAATCCCTCCACCTCCCCACAGTGGCCCTCCCTCCCAGTCCGGAGAGGTGGCCAAAGCAGGCAATGGGTTCCCGCTGTGCCAAGCTCAGCACGGGCCACGGCCGGGGCCATGAATCCACCATGAAGAAGCTCGTGGCCTGCGTGAGTCAGGATAACTTCTCCTTGTCGTCAGAGGGAGAGGAAGAGGAGGAAGGAGAGGAAGAGGAGGAAGAGGAGCTCCCGGTACAAGGCAAGCTGCTGCTGATGGAGGCTGAGCAGCAGGAGGAGGGCGTCGAAGAAGATCCCGTGGCCCAGCAGAGCCCTGAGCCCAAGCAGATGCACTCCTGACCTCCGACCATGACCCAGGAAGAGATGCCAGCTGCTGTTACAGTGAGAAGAACTTTCGGAAAAGAGTCAATAAAGTCTCCAGAGGAATTCTCCTCCTTTGTGGTCCCCCCAGCCTCACGTCTGTGGTACCGTGTGTGTGCGCGTGTGCATGTGCTGTGCGTTTTAGGGAAGTTGAAAAGCAGAAATCTGTGATCCCTGCTCCTGATGTCCAGCCAGAAGTTTTCACAAGGTCTCCTCCCCGTGACTTCTCAGCTGCCCTCTCCTGCTTTGGGGGTGAACATGTGGTAGCCTGGGCTGGAAAGTCATCTCAGCCAGTCCTGTCTCGGGGCAGAGGCTGGGGGTGGGGGGTGTGGGGGTGTGGGTATGCGTGGCGTGACAGGGGAAGGGGAGGGGCAGACACAGGCCGAGAGCATCTGTCAGGACAGCACACTTGCCCTCAGCAATCCCCCTCTCCGCTGCTCCAGCCAGTGACAGTGTTCTTAAAGAGCACTGACTTGGGAGTTCAAATTTCTTTCTGCTCGCTGTCTGACCTTGAGCCAGTCACTGAGCTTTGGTCTGCCCCACTCTGTTTAAGGGTAAGATTAATAGCTACCCCATAGGTTAGTGGGTCAGGAGAATGTACTGAGATATTGGGTGGGCCGGGCCTGGCACACAGTGAGTGTTTAGCACAGGTATTGTTGCTGGGGTTGGGGTGGCTCCATGTGTCTCATTGGCCCTGGTTTAGGGTCAGAGTATGTGGAGGGGTCTGAGTCCTTTCCAGCCAGTGGTTCTTCTGCCACCTTCACACTCGAGGTGACCATCTGTGCCCCCAGAGGCTTATATCTGTCTTCATCAAGGGCTCCCGCAATAGGGGCAGAGGCTATGTTCTCACTAGAGCAATGGGCAAAGACAGTTCAGAGAAGCTGCCAGACACAGGTGCAGAACCCAGGTCCTGTGTCCACGCTGGCTGCTCACTAAGTATCAGAATGTGGTCTCCGCCTCTGCCCTCAGTAGTGCCCCCAACACCTGCCATCTGGGCCTGAGAAGGGTCCTGATCACGGCTGCTGGGGGTGGGAGGCGGAGAAGCCTCAGTTTCTTTGCGGGGATGTGGCAAGGTAAGGAGAGGCCGTGGGTTTCTCAGAAGGGAAGCCACATCTGAGGCAAGTGATGTCCAGAGGAGGAGGCTCTGCTGGCCCCGATTCCACTCCCAACGATGATCAAGTTACTGGGCCAACCGGCTTTGTCCTTTTGTCCCATAGATCCACATTCGTTCACCCAGCACACATCTGTCGAGCCCCTTCTGTATGTGCCAGTCACCATAGGCCTTAAGATTAATACAAGTCTCCACCCCACCATGCACTTGAGGGTGGGGATGTGGGCAGTCAGCAGTGGAGGTGGGGAGTGGGTCAAGGGATCCAGAAGGAGTCTTCACAGTGCAGCCCCCAACTGGCCCCGCGGAGCCCACACAAGGTGGGGCTGTTAGAATAGAGCCTCACGTGCCCTCCGTAATCCCCTCGACCCTCTAGTGACCGCAAAGCTGAATGAGAGGGGTCCAGACCTAGATCTGAATCGCAGCTCTGCCACTAACTAGCTGTGGGACTCTGGGCTGGCTACTCAATCTCTCTGAGCCTCCTCCCTCTTTATAAAATGTAATAATCATACCTGCCTCACAAGATTCATTAGTTTCTTAAGGCTTTTGGAACAAATTATCACAAACTTGGTGACTTAATACAACAGAAATTTATCCTTCATATTCTGGAGGGCAGAAGGCTGAAATCAGAGCATCAGGCGGGCCATGTGCCCCACGCAAGTGCTAGGGGAGAATCCTTCCTCACATTGTCCAGCTCACGGTGGCTCTAGGCGTTCCTCGGCTTATGGCTACATAACTCTAATCTGCCTTAATGTGGTCTCATCTCCCTGTGTGTCTTCTCTTTTGTTTCTCATACAGATACTTGTCACTGGATTTAGGGCTCACCTGGATAATCCAGGATGCTCTCAAGATCCTTATTTCTATGAAGATGCTTTTTTTAAATATGGCCACACTGACAGGTTCCAAGGTTAGGATACAGACATATCTTTTAGGGGGCACCACTCAGCCCACTATAAAGGGTCACTGTGAGGTTCAAGGACAAAACTGTCTGGCTAGGGGTGGGAGGGGAGACGTAGAGCCCAGCCGCTTAGAAAATGCTCAGTAAGTGAGGGCAGTTTTCACTATGAGTGATGTGACATGGTTACTAGCAAATAAACTCTAGGAAAAGCGGATGCTAGCAGCAGTCCAGGAGTACCCAGTTCGAAGGTCAGTTTTCTCAAGGAGGTCCACGGCCGCACGCAGTGACAGGAAGTTCTCTTTTCTGAGAACATGCCCTTAAGAGAAGTTATTGTTCATCTAACAAAACAGTTGCCAATAGAATCTCAACATAGGAAACATGGGGTCACCCTCCTGGACTCCTCAAGGGACTTCTTTGGAATCAGGACAAGGAGATGAAGATAGAGAAAATGAGGGAAACATTTCTTCCAGAACTTGTCAATTAAACAACAATATCACTAGTTAAGGCAAACAACTTCCCTACCCATTACCCAGTAAGAGACCTGTCTAGGCCTGAAATGTCCCAAATCTTTACATATTTCTCTCAGTTAAGTCCACTAGAGAAGACACAATAACGAAAGGACATGTATTTGTGCCGAGTGTGACAAAGGCTTCTTCCGGGCCTCGGACCCACACGTGTCTTGCATGCAACATTCTTCAGCCACAGAACCAAGCTTCTGGATAACGAGAATCCCCACGTGGGAGAGCAGCCCTACGTGTTCCCCGAGCCAGAGAAGCTACGGCCAGTCGGCCACTTCCACTGCCACCTGAGGACACACCAGAGAATTGCTTTCCCAAGTGTTCCCTCCACACCAGAAGCTTCCTCGGCCGCAGCCCCGATGTGATGTATATAAGTGTGTCTGAGAATATGTATATTTCCAAAAATATGTCCTTATTTAAAACATACTTTATGATTTCCAGATTATATTTTCCATTTATTGTCTTACTCCATTAAATATAAGTTTAAGCAGGGCAAGGAATTTCTCAGTTTTGTTCACGAAAGTATTTCCAGTGCCTAGAAAGTGGCTGACACATTTCAAATGACCAATTAATATGTTAAATAAATGAAACAAGCAGATGATAGCAAAGCCTTGTAACGAAAGGCAAAGTTGTACATGAGCAAGAGAGGGAGACTTAGACACGGACTGGGGGGCCTGCCAGGGGACAGGAGAGGGAGACAGGGAGTTTCATGGGGGAGAATGGGGAGGCATAAGCCAAGAGTGGCCAAGGGTGTTGGTGAAGGTGTAGGGAGGGGTGGGCTGCTGTGTGTTCTGATAGGGCCTCGTGTGCAAATGCGGGTTTGGGTTTTCTTCCATAGGTGCTGGGAAGTCTGAGTGGGGCTGCCTGATTCCAACTGTAGGCGGGGCTTCGTTAGCAGGGAGGGGGAGTAGAGTCAGGAGGCAGGAATGGGAGGGAAGAAGAGAGTTTTCAAGAGCCTCCTGTGGCTTGACAAGCATCTCAGGCTCATAAGAATACCAGGAAGGAAAGAATGATAAGGAAGACAAGCCTAGAGAATCAAAATGACCTTCCCCAGATCAGACATCAGACAAACTGGGATTGAACCTGGCTCTAAATCTCCTGAATTTAAATCTTGCTGGGGAAGTGGGCTTGCCAGGTGGGACCCAGAACCACCCATCAATCCATTGGGTCACTCATCATTCACCCATGGATAAGCCATCTAATCCATTCAACATCCACAGCTCGCCCACATATCCTTGCACTAGGAATCTATCTTATCAACCACCGACCTTCCTCACCTCCCCCAGCCAACTATCACTGGGGTCAAGGCTGTGCTTCTGCATTCCTAGCTGCCTGGGTAGAATAAGAGAAAGGGCTGGAATGCTTAGAGGACATTTGCTGAGCTCTTACTGTGCTGGCCCTGAGCCAACTGCTGGACATAGATTCTCTCATTTAATCTGTCTGATGTCCCTAGGAGGTAGGTATTCTTACTGTCCTCACTCGACAAAGGAAACTGGGACTTGGAGAAGTGACTGCCCAGGTGAGTGACCATAAGGAAAGAAAAGCAGCTCTGGGATGTGGACCCAGCTCGATCAGACCCAAGGATCCCTGCTCTTAACCAACAGATGAGACTACCCCCAGAGGGCCCCTCAAAGCTGCCCTGCCCTAGGGGTTAGGGTAAGAGGTAGGGGGGGCTTTGTCCTGGCAGGACCACATCTGTTACATCCTGTGGCCTGTGCCATCACAATCAGCCCCAACTATATAAGCAGGGGATGCCAGGGCCTCTGTAAAGCTGGGTGTGCTGGAAGAGGAGGAGGAAGAGGAAGAGGCTGCTGCCCCTCCACGCGTGGCATCCCATGGACACCAAGACACAGAACCTTCCCATCACCTACACCCAGCCCCATAGCAACGCTCGGCCCCAAAGCCACAGCTGCAACCAGTGCAACTGCTGTCACCACTGCCAGAACTGCAGCCATAGTTGCAGCTGGAGCCAGAGCTGCAGCCGGAGCCAGAGTTGCAGCCGAAGCCGGAGCTCCAGCCAGAGCCCAGCCGGCCACTGCAGCCCACCTGGCCACCAGAGCCAGAGTCCAAGCCCCCGCCAGCCACAAAAGCATCAAAGACACGCCATGCACTCCCACCACTGTCCCATGCGGCCCATCAGCCATTCCTGCAGCTACCCCAAGAACAGAAAGAACTTGGAAAGAAAGATGAACAGGAGGAAGGTGGTCAAGAGGAGCCAGCGGGTGTACAAAACAAAGAGGCGGAGCTCAGGTACCTTTCGCGCAGGTGGGGAAGGGCCTCAGGGCCCCTGAAATTAGGGGGAACTGCTTAGCTGGACCTTGGGGACAGTGCGGTGAAGGCCACCAAGCCAGAGCACAGAGGAACCACAGGCAAGGGTGAAGAGGGAAAGGAAACTATGGCAGTTGCATATACGATGCATCGCTGGACTAGCTCTTCGAATGTGCTGGATGGGCTGATTGGGAGAATGAACAGGTGGCAGATTAGCTATATAGAATGGATGAGTGGATAAGAGGCTGAGTGGATAAATAATTCATTAGAAGGTCTTATGGCCATGCTATCCTGAACAAGCCCGATCCCATCTGATCTTGGAAGGTAAGCAGGGTCGGGTCTGGTTAGTACTTGGATGGGAGACCACCTAGGAAGACCAGGTGCTGTAGGAATTAAAAAAATAAATAAAATTAATAATTCATTAGAAGGATGATTAGGTATAGAGATGGGTGATAGCTGCTTAAAAGTGGATTAGACGAATGGACAAAAGAATACATCAGTTGAATGACTGGAAAGTTTGGATACGGTTGAAAAATATGTGGCTGGTGAATGGTAAATTTGTTAAATTGTTGGCTAGGGGGATGGATGATGAGGTGACTGTGGACTAACAAATGGGTAGACGAACTGAGATATAGTTAACTGGATGAATGGAGTAAATGAATGGACCAATGGGTGGAATAGTTTTCTGGACTGAAACTGGATGGGTAGCCTGGATATAGTTGAAAGAATTAAATGACTTGGATAAAAACTGACTCATGGATATGGGTCATGAGTCATCCAGTCTATGGATTCACATAAGTCAAAAGGAACTTGACAATAATCTAAACCCTATTCATGGCCCATATCTGATAACAAATGAGCGAGCAGTCCAAGACTCAAAGGAGAGGGTGAGTGACTTCATGCAGGACAACTACTAAAGGGTCCCTTTCTCATTCCTATCGCTTAGGGCGGAAGTACAACTGAGATCGCACTCTGTGGCTTGTTCCTGTGTCGATTTCATCCAAATGAGAAATACCATCATACATGGAATGCTAGAAGGAAGAAGTCAAACTTTTTGCAGGAACATGTTACTACAGTGATTTCTATGCAACGATGATTAAAGCCTTGTACACTGGAGGACTAACTTGAGTCGACGTTTTGATTTCACTAAAGGTGTCATGTGTTTTGGGGCCTGGTTGAGAAGTGCAAAGCAGAAAAGAGGTTGCACGCGGAGCAGGGACATGCCTTGTGATGGGACCTAATTGGAGTGTGAAGAGCCAATGCCAAGATGGGCAGAGATGCACAGGGTGGGGTGGGGTGGGGGGAAGTGGTAGAGACATCAAGAAGCCTTCAAAGTGACACAGGGTCTAGCGTGTTTTTAAAGATGGTGTTAGCTGCCATGTGGAGATGATTATGGAGGACAGACGGGACAAGAGGAAAGCCATTGGCAGAGTGCAGCCAGGGGAGAGGGACTGGCGAATGGCACTGGATATCCTCTGAAACAGATGGGCTGAGGGAGCGAGTTCCTCCTTCAGCAAACATTTACTTGGCATTCGCTTATAAAGGCCTTGGGCTAAGGGCCAGGCGGGAAGGCAAAGGCAGACAGAACCCTATGCCCACGTAGCTTCCAAATGAATGAAGGGATAAGATGTGTCTAATTCAAAAGAAAACTTCAGCCTTCTCATCTGTGGGTGGCTGGAGGGTTCAATGAGATCATGTGTGAAGCGGTATCTAGCTGCGGCACATAGTAGGTATTCAATGACCCTATGCTATTCAATGACCCTATGCTATTATTAATATGTCATATCAAGTACTAGACAGCATGCTAACGGCTGGATAAAAGGATTCGGGAATGGTCAGGGTCTCACATAAATTACCTTCTGACCTTCAAATCCACAAGCCTTGGTTTTAGGGACAGACCCTAGATCACACTGGCTCCCTCACTCCTAGTTAGGCATCTTCGGACTAGTCACATTCACTCCAAGGCGTACTTGCCTCACCTGTCAGCGGTGTAATAATTCTGACCTCGGGTGGCTCAGTGGCCTGAGGCGTGTGAAGGCACCTAGCACAGCACCCACACATGGCTGCTCTTATTCTCTTTTGTGTTTCACTTGGCATTTGGGCTGAAAGAACAGGGTAGACACGTGGACATAGAGGATGGGGCAGGCGTGCAAATGATGGGAGTGTCTGCAGTGGAGGCAGAGGGACCGAAAGGGAGCCTGGGAAGAAGGGCTTGCTGTGGCAGTCACTCTGTAACAGACGCAAATATCAATTCACTGTAACTAACACAATGTTATATGTCCATATAACATTCGCTGTATGGTCTTAGCAAGTCATTTCCTCTCCCTGTGCGTCAGTCTCTCTCTGAAATGGGAGGCTGAAGTGCCTCCCTTTAGGGGTCACTGAGGTGAGGACCATGCAAGTGTCCAGCAGAGGGTCTGAGACATGGTCTGCACTGTCCCTTGACCTCCCCTCACAGCAGAGAAGTGTTCCAGGTTGATACACAGCTCTGGGAGGATGTGGAGGAAGGGCCCAAGCAGGCTGGGGAAATGACCATTGCTTAAGCCAGGTGCCAGAAGCTTTGACATAAATGTTTCCGCTGGAACCACGCATTACTGGTCCCACTTTACAGAGGGAGAAGCTGAGACTCAGAGGTGAAATGGATCGAAGTCTCCTGGAAGGCAGTCTGAGTTCACCTTTGCTCCAAACCTCCCGGTTTCCTATTTAAAAATGTAAAGCCACATAATGCCATGATAGTCACTGAGTCTGCAGTACAAAAGAGTTTGGGAAGCGCGTCTAGGGAGCATGTTTAAGGGAGGAGGTAGAGAAAGAGGGTCAGAGGATAAGGTCAGGGACTTTGAGCTCCACTCACCAAAGGAACTTCCTAATCACTGAACAGTGTCCTTTGATAATAGGATCCTGAAGGCAAGAGATCTTCTATTATAGAGACTTAATCTCTATAATAGAGGAAGTGAACTGGGAAGCAGACAGACTGGGTCACATGAATGGTTTATGGACCTGTCAACCCCGCATTTCCCTGTTGGTTTGAAAAAAGGCGGCACAAACATACACAGATACCTAGTCACACATACAAAGAAATCGCAATTCAAACCCATTGAGACCCAATCAGACACTGAGACCTAGATTCACATGAAGACTCTCAAATACACACACACACACACACACACACACACACACACACACACACACACACCCCTATACATACATGCAGGCTCTCACACGCCTCCCCTCCCACACTGAAACACTCTCAAGCAAGCATTCACAGGCACACACCCACCCTCTCACAGTCAAACACATGATGACAAGAGGAAAAACATCAAACCACAGATTCATTCTTTCACTTGCTTGGTTTGGGGTGGGGCGCAGTAGTTTAGGGGTAGGCCTGCTGGAAACCCAAATTCGGGAAACAGAGAGAAACGGATGCCCAATTCAGCCACAGAAAGGCTATGCAGATTCTGAAGGTGACCTATCTTGCCTTTCTGATTAATTTTGGTAGGATAATGGTGTGAGGTGAGGTCTGGGAAACCGAAGCAGCCCAGCCTGTGGTGGGACTGCCAGCTCAGCTGCCTGGGGCACTGTCACTCTTGCAGGCCCTAGATAGCACTAGGGGACCCAGCAGTCCTGGGGGAGGAGGGAGTAGTCAGGGAAGAGCCTGCAAAGCCTGGGTTGATATGCCCATTTGAGGTATGATTCAGGAGGAAAAATATCTCAAATTCTGTAGCCACGCAGACCCAGATTCAACCCCCAGCTCCCCGGTCCCCTCGCTGGGTGACCCCAGGCCTGTCTCTTAACCTCTCTGAGGCTTATCTGCACTGAATGCTTCGTGAAGAGGTCCAGGGGCCATGCCATTCCTCTTTTTTCTTTTTTTTTTTTTTAAGCTTCTTTATGCTTTTTTATTTATTTTAAATAAATTTATCCCTTTAAATTAGTTTCAAGTGTACAGTACATTGGTTAGACATCTATAATGTTCATAAAACAATCCCCCCAATTGCTCCCTCCCTCCCCTGGCCCTCCACTTAGCCATCATATTAATGCTAACTGCATTCCTTCTTCCGTGCTCCCGGTGCCCACCTATCAACTACTAATTTGTACTTCTTTAACCCTTCACTCCATTCTCCTAGCCTCCCAACCCTCCTCCCCTCTGTCCATCACCAAATTGTCCATTAAATTTGTGAGTCTGTTTTTGATTAGTTTGTTCTTTTTGTTCCTGAGATACTGCATATAAGTGAAATCATATGGTAACTATTTTTCTCTGACTTATTTCACTCAGCCTAATAATCTCTAGGTCCATCCATGTCATTGAAAATGTTAGGATTTCATTTTTTTTAGTGGCAGAGTAATACTCCATTGCATATATGAACCATAATTTCTTTATTCAAACGTCTGTTGATGGGCATTTAGGTTGCTTCCATATAAGCTATAGTAAATTGTGCTGCCACGAATATTGGAGTGTATAGATCTTCATGAATTATTGTTTTGGTTTTCTTTGAATAAATACCCAGAAGTGCAATTGCTGGGTTAAAAGGTATATCCATTTTTAATTTTTTGAGGAACCTCCATGCTGTTTTCCATAGTGGCTGTACCGATTTGCAATCCCACCAACAATGTATGAGGCATGCCGTTCTTGAATATTTGCTGAGTAAATGAAACAAAGAATAGGCATTAAGCAATGCCTATTCTGAGATGCTACTTGTGTACCTGTTGAATGGACAAAAATGGAAATGAAATTGATAATAACAAGTACAGGTGAAGGCACAGGGAAGCTGATACAGTCAAATGCCACTGCTGAGAGGGTAAATGTGCACAGGCATGTTGATGGGCAACTAACTTAAATGTCTACTAACATTTAAAGTACACAAAGTGTTTCTCAAACATGTGTGCTAGGACCTTGTACAGGGAGGTGTAGGGCTACATTGTTTGCAAGAGCAAAAACCTGGAAACAACTCATGTGCCCATCCACAGTGGATGGATAAGAACACATGAGATTCATTGAGAATGCAATTTTTAAAAAGGATATGTTATA